CCCCGCCCGCGCACGTCGCAAGCCCACAGCGTCAGCTTTTCGCCCCGTAGGGCGATAGGGGGCGATGATGCAATGTGGGTTGCCTACATACTGGGGTTTTGTAGCACAAATTGCCTACCTTTCAGGCGGCTCACTAGAGACGGGGGGGGGGGGCTTATACCGCGCCTGACCTCATCTCGGCTGTTTTGTTTGTCTGTCTGCAGGTTCGTGCACCGCTACCTCTGCGTCAAGTGGGCGGCCAGCCGGTACCGGCGCAACAACGACTCGGTGCCGGTCATCTTCAGCCGGCTGGCGCGCGCGCACCCGGACCGCGTGCTGCTGCGCTTCAACGACGAGCAGTGGACGGCGGCGCGGATAGAGGAGTACAGCAACCGCGTGGCCAACGCGTTCGCCGCGCTGGGCCTCAAGAAGGGCGACACGGTGGCGCTCTTCATGGGCAACTGCCCGCAGTACGTGTGCGTCTGGCTCGGGCTGTCCAAGATCGGCGTGGTCATCGCCTTCGTCAACTACAACCTGCGCAGCCAGCCGCTCGTGCACAGCCTGACGGTGGCCGACTGCTGCGCCGCCGTGTTCAGCGAGGACCTCGCCGAAGGTGGGGCTCCGCTCTGACGGATCGCCTTTTCAGCACAAGCGTAACCGGACAGCCGAGCGTAGCTGCCGTAGCTGGCCCAGGGATCGACTCCCAGCTGCCGCGAACATTTTGTTTTGTCGCCTCTTGTATTTTGTAAAAATGGGATCCAGTCCTACACGCCTCTCTAGATGGATCAGCTGGTAGCCGAGCGTACTGAGACGCGGGACGAATAGGGCGACTCGGCCGCAAGATCGACTCCCAGTCGACGCGAACAATTTTTTCGGCCCTTCTACGCTATTGTATAGTAGGATCGAGTCCTATGTAAAGTATGATCAGCTGGCAGCCGAGAGTGCTATGGCGTGGACTCTCCGGTGGAGTTGGCTGCGAGATCGATACCCGGTCGGTTCAATTTTTTTTTCGTCGCTTCTTGCCGCCCGTAAGGCAGGACCGAGTTCCGAGCTCCGCTGAGGAAGAAGCAGTTAGCAGCCGAGCGCATTAAGGCGTCATCCGCCACAACCGGGCGGACTGGAGGTCGACTCCCGGCCGAGGCTGTTGGCTTTCTTTTATCGCTTCGTGTGGGCAGAGCTCCCGCTCGGGACGAGGATGGTTGCCGGGATCGAATACCGGCCGTGGATCATCATTCTCCCCACTTACCTGGCCGTAGCTATGCGGCCACTAGGGAGAGCGTAAATTGGGTCAACCCTTGGGACTTAACCGCCTACTCACCCCCCCC